TCTCATTTCAGTCAAGATGCGCTCAGAGAGAGGGTCAATTCTTCTAAAATATTTAAGAGGAACAGTTCATATCTTTAAAGCTGTTTAAAGACATGACTTCCCGTGCAGTGTAAGTCAGAACCCCTTTTGGTGTCAGAGAGAATTAGGTTCTACCTATCTTCAAATATCTTGGCTCAGTCACCTAAATGCATTTGCAAACCTGGCCTTAGCAGCTTTCCTTAGTGCATTGGCAGGTCTCCGAGCACAGAGAACACACCGTCCCCCACGTTACAAGTATTTGTTAGCAATGCACTAGTGCGTTCAGTTAGTTACGGCATGGAGCATATTCTACCCGTGCCTTGCACTTAGCCAATCCGTCCTCCCTGGAGGCACCTACCAGCCCAGCCCATCCACCACCCAGGTTTTGCAACCTGCAAGTACAGGCCCAGGCAAAATAGCGCTAGTGCCTGCATCAAAACAAGATCTTTTCCCTCCATCGCAGCCAGCCCGCAGAAGGTCCGTGCCTGCTCCCCCTCTGCGCCGCGGCAGCTGCGGCCGCAGCGACGTCCCCTATGAAATAATACCCAGGGCCGGAGGCGGTAGGTCTCGTGAGCCGTTCGGAGACACCCGTGCCGGCTGACTCTCCGGTGCCTGCGGACTGGCTGGCTGCCGGCCTTCGGCCAGGACGGGCCGAGGATCAGCTGAGGGCCCCCAGATTTCCTTGACATGGCACGCTCTCGGTGTGGTCTTGTGCTCTGTCTTCTCCCTCCTCCTCCTCCCTAGCCCCAACCCAGTCTGCTGCTGTCTTTCACAAAATCCATAGAAATATCATTATCATGGAGCTGTCTGCCTCTAGCGGTTTTTTTCTTTGGAAATAATTATAATTTGCTGTGGCAGTTAAAAACTTATCGGCGTAGACAGATGACAGACAGCACAATCACTTAAGCTTCCCTCTGAGAAAATAAAGCTAAACCCATTTATCATCCTAGTTGGGAACAAAGGGCCTTCCTCTGAAAAGCCGGGCTGTGAAAACACCGAGAGAAGAGTGTTACGCTCACGGATTAAATCTGTGGTAGGTAACCAAGCACAAGCAGTCCCTTTGCAGCAGGATGGTACTGTGGTAATTAGGATAATATCACTTCTTTCATCTGAGGAGTACCTAGCTAGGAATATATCACTCCGTTCAGAGGCAGTGACTGAGCTCCCAAGAGGTTAATTAAGTGGCTGGAAGCCATGCAGGCCCAAAGAGTGACTGCACCGCAGGCACAGAAAACTGTACGCGTATCCCCATGGCGTCTGTAAGGGCAACTTGCACTGGGATCCGAAGCTGGGCATGAATCACTCCAGGAATATGGAGTAAGTCATTAACTGCCCTCTCCCAGAGAGCAGAAAAGTTTTGATTCCTAGGTGTATCTCTGGGGCACGAAGTCTCCTGGAGCCACCTTTTGTGTGACAGCTTGCGTGCCATCCCCGGGAGGGCCCTGCGCCCTCTCCACTCCGCATCCCAGCGGAGCCCGGACAAGGACTGTGCAGCCTTGTCCTCCCTCCGTCTTGGTTTAGCTGCTACACAGATAGGGAACCGACGGCTCTCATTCTCCAGCGGGGCCGGATAATCCAGCCACCCTGCCACCGTCCAAATACTCATTTTTTTCCAAATGATTTTAACATCTGGCCTCCCTTTGGGCTGAATGGGTTTCTAATGGCACGTGGGTTAGGGGCAGTTGGGGAGGTGAGTGGGAGGGCTTCTCTTGGTACTAATTTAAAACGTTTAAGCAATTCATATCATTCCTGAGATATTTTTAAGAAAATGAAAGCTGGGTGAGGAGGATGGTTGTCCTGTGGAAGTTGTTGACTACCCAGTACATGCGAACAGATAGCCTCAAATTCCGTGGGATATGCTTGGATCTAATGGTATTTGCACAGGCACAAAGAGGAATACTGTTAACATGCAACCAGTTGTTGTATGGGTGAGGGCCGAGAAGGGGACAGAGAGGGGGGAGGATGGGAGAGAAAAGGACAGAGGAATACCAGAAACAGAACTGCACAAAATGTTTTCTGTAGCTCTAGTTCCCAGAATTACAAATAAGCCACAAACAAATTCATTAATTGACATGCCTCATGTGCAGCCACATTAATGTCACCACTATTTCACTTGGTCCAGTGCATGCATTTCACTGACAAACTCTTCTGCCTTTGGATGAAACTGTGGATGGTTTCTACTTTTTTTTTTTTAATAGTCTTCTTGGCTCCCAACAGCTTTGCCTGGTTAGATTTCCCCTTCTAGCTAAAAAAAGAAATTAGCCTGATCTCTCTTGGCAGCTGTGAAATGGTTGCATATTGTGTATGTTTTCTTGATAAGCTTGCATGAGGTGGAATTTGGTTTTCTTTTCATGGATACACCACTTTTAGCACAATGTCCCCACAAGATTAGCAAGTGTTTCATTTTTTTAGAGAATTTTTATGTGCATGTAATGTCATGTATGCCATTTCTGTACAGCATTACGAATAGTGCATAAAGCTGCTTGAACAGGGAAACGGAACGGATTGAGGAATGTTTCCCCAGTGAATGCTTGATATGATTTGTGATGGTGTGTAATTTGCTAATCACAAATCTTCGGTTGATGGCAAAAATTCCATGAGATGCAGGTGTTAATTCTTACCACTTTCTAGAACCAAATTCAGGTGCTGTATAATATACAAAACTGCCTGTGCTGGATCTGCCCTAAGAGCAATTTAGCCCCATGTCGTGTAATGACAGTGCCCAGATGTGGACGCCTGGGGAAAAGGGCAGATGCAGTTCTTACTTTCTTGCTTCCTCAGCCTCCAGTCTTTTTTAGCTCAGACTCCCTGAGCTCCTGGTTTCTGCGTATTTTAGAGCCCACAATGGAGAGAGAGAGAGGAGAGAGGAGGTGAAACTTCCACTGAAGACAACAGATATTACACTGAAAAGCACCGTGGGTGAATGTGATTGCTCTATCTTCTTGTATGGTTATGTGCATGAGCCTCAGTCTAGCCTGTGTTTCAGGGTAATGCTATTATTAAGAATAAAATCAATGAATGACAAAGGAGATGTTCTAAGACAACAGGGAAAAGGCCAAAATGAGTATAAAAGGGTAATAATATTATACGACATCTTTATTATTATAATATTATGAGATAAAGTGGCCGGCATTCTGCCATTCTCTTGCCCGATGTTTAACTTAGCCATGAAGGTCTTTTTCAAAATTATATTCAAGAGAGTCTGGAGGGGGGCAGGGGGCAAGGAATCTAGTCTCACTTGAAATTAAAAGCTTTTGTGAGGTAGAGGTGGGATCATTTAATTCTTTGTCTGACATGACTTCTCCAGATCAAATTCAAATGTAAGAAACACTAAGTACTGGAATAATTAGCAGAGTATTTTGGTTTTAGTTATTATGTACTGTTGGCCTGCCTGTTTGGTGAAACTCTTCAGTCCTGGTAGGAGCCATTAATAGCTAATGGGGAATCACAGACTCTGGCCTTGTAGGCTGCAGCTGGACCACCAGAAGCTGGTTTAACTGGGGATTGCCAACGAAAAACTCACCCATGCCTTCCCTTCCTCTGTTTCCTACTCTGTGTCTTTCCAAGGGGCTGCTGAGCTGACTGCATGGGATGGGCAGGCAGAGGGGGCTCCTACAGGGTTAGTTTTCAGGCTGATCTGTGAGCTGTTCCAACTCATCACGCTGCTGTACATTGGCAACTCGTGCAGAAGTGGCAGAAGGGTGCAGATCAGGAAACGAAACTGGCAACTGAACCTACCCACAGCAGCTTCCTGTTAGATTGGTTTAAGCTAGCAGTAAAGCTGAAGTCCCAGGGCTGCACGTTTGGTTTTTCCTATTGTAACTGCTGGCAGAGTGCTACATCTCCAGACAGGCTTCATGCCAACACTTACCTGTACAGCTGAGCGGCTGTTCAAGCTGGGGCTTCCGAGGCTTTCAGAGCCAGTGTAGGCAGTCCACGAGGCATTGCCTTCTCCAGCTTGGTGGATCTCTGTGGAGCCAGGAGTCTTCTCAGGCAGACTGCCCCAGGCCCAGGGCACGGAGACATATGGTTGGTCTGTGGCTGTGGGGCAGGATGCCAGGGATGCAGGCAGCACTCCAGCTGAACCCTAGCTTGAACTCTGCAACTGGCTTGTTTCAAGAAAAGCATTTTGGTCTCGTCATGTGGGCATTTTTCCACCTGAGTTTGGTTACACCGGAGTATTTTCAACCAGCTTGTCATAACAAGTGTTTGGTTTGGAGCAGGGACAAAGAAGAAACAAGGAAGAAGTTATTTGCTGAGTTATATGCGGCAAGTTTAAATTCAGCTTATGGCTGTCCTCAAGGAGCATGTCTCCAGTGGATGTTTTTCCAACTAAATGTTATTTAAATATAACTGCCTTTAAACCCACCTGAGGTGAAGTTGTGGGTTCAGCCCTTTGACACAAAATTTGAACTTGCAAACAGGAAAAAGAAGTAAGTGTTCAACAGGAACTCCAATGGAATTACCACCAGTGAACTGAAAAAAAACTGTAAAACAGCTTTCGTTTTGTTTGAAATTTCCCTATTGCTTGAAAAAATTATACTGGATGTACAACATTCAAGAATTAAATCCTGTTTATCTACCAAATAGCAGCAGATAAATGCAGTTCATCTTTAAAGAGGGAAGGGGAAAAAAAAAAAGCAAGAGGGAAAACACAGTGCCCTGGAAGGGGTTACTGGAAGAATTTTTTCACCCTTTCCCCTCAAGGTAGTAGTGAAACAATGACAATTTTATTGAGTTGTAGCTGTCACAAGCAGGGTCTTGCTATGCTCTTGCAGCAGTTTACGCTGTGCTTAACTGTTTCTCTGTGGCTCCCTGCGTAACAGCTGGAACAGCTCCAGCTATTCAGAGTCCAGAACTGGAAGAGCTGCTAACAAAGGAGGTCTATGTGAAAACCAGCATTATTCCAGCATATTCAGCATACTGGGCTCTGCCTTCCTCCTCCTCCTCTTCTCCTTCCGTTTACAATTTCCTTTGCTCATGTATCTGCTTCTGAAGTCACTTAGCCTCTGTCCTCACCTAACCTTTTGACTTCCCCCTGTTTTTTCACCTCTCCTTAATTCCTTTGATTTCTCCTTGTGGCTTTTGGACACCAAAGGTCGTCCTGGTAAACATAAGATTTGTTTGTTTGTTTGAGGTGTTTGTGTGTGAGTGTAGGCTGAGCAGAATGTACTGTGACTTACATTAGCTTCTGTTAAGGCTGTAGTGAACTCCAATTTCGTACCAGTCTATTCTCCCCACCCTCCATGCCTCTTTCTCCTTCCTTTAAGCGAGCTGCTCCTTTTTCCTGTCAACTGCGCCCTTCTCTTGCTGTTTGCTCTCATAGCAAATATACTTGCTCCAGTGCTTTTGCTTCCTTGCTGCCTTCCTCTGCAATTGCAGCTGCCTTCTGCCCCTTTACATCACAGAAACAGCCTCATCCAGCTACTGATGACTTTTCCCATGCTGCAGCCTTCCTATTTCCTTTCCAGGATTGTTTCTCTACATAGGCATGTCCAATTGTTTCCTCGTGTTCACCAGCTTTTGTCCTCCCAAGTCCGTCCTCCATGGGAGCGATCACAACTACCATCTCCTTAACACTGCCTTTCTTCACTCTGCATGCAGGTAGTTGCAGATGCCCACAGGGTCTCTGTTCCGTTTTCAGCTCTCTCCGAGGCAGAGGCACTGAGTACGTGGTCTGTGATTCGGGCTGGCCACTAAGAGCAGTGCCCTTTTTTGCCTGAAGCAACTTCTCATAGAATCCCATGGTCACTTCCTCCTGACAGGGTGACATGTACACCCAGGAATATGATTTCTGGGGAAGAGCAAGGTCTGGCTCAGCAATATGAGTGATATAACTGCCCTAGCTGGTCATGTGGTGGGAATGGAGATCACCAGGAAAGCTTAAACAGCATTGGTTCCTGGCTGTCCTGGTAAGCATAATGCAAAACAGTCACTCAAAATAGCAATTGTCACTTGAAAAATATGACTCATTTTGACAGTCTTGGCTGTTTTAACTGTATAAACCATTTGTAGGGCTCTAATGACTCAGTGTGAAAACTTGCCTGCACAGCTTGTGAAAGGTGAGGTCAGTGCTAGAATTAGCCCCAAACAGAGTTCACCATGGTACTTCTAGGGAGGTGGTCCTGAATGAAAGGGGACCCTGAGTGCTGGCAGCTGTATTCCAACACAGGGTGAAAAGCACCAAGAAGTGACTTCCAGTACTAACCTGACCAGCCGCTGAGAACAGATGCCTTTTTGTCTGGCTTTTGTTTTCAAATGGCCAATAAGAACAGATCAGCACTGGCACCATTGTCTGTAATAAATGTGTTTTCCCTCAGTGGAAGACTGTGGCATGTTGTAAACAATCATGGCCCTGAGTAAAGCATAATCGATCACAGAAGTGCCACAAAGGATACATTTGCCAAGGCATGGTTTAAAGATCAGGATCTGTATAATGGAGCTAGCACACTTAAGACAGTGAAAAGGAGGTATCACCATTCTCTGGGACGAAATATAAAACGGAGTGTCATCAAAAGACTTCATAGCCCTTCACTGCTGTTGCATTTTCTGCATCACAGCAAAGCTCTATCTTCTGCTTGTCAGAAGGTCCCTCACTGATAAACTGGTATTTTGTATTCTGAGTAACTAAAAAATAAATGCCATGTTTCTTCTCAGATGCAGGCTTAGTTTACTGTTGTGCAGTGAAAGATCTTTCTGTATGCTATGGGTCCTGTTCATTGCTATATTCTTGAAGCTTTATGTTGGGGTCACTCTGCTAAAATCAGGAATGGCAAATTGGGGTGTTCAGATACCCCACAACATGTGGCCACAAGATAAAAATCGGCATCCTACAGGGAATACTATAGCTTTCTAAAGGCTACATCCTGTGGCCGTATCTTCTCACATTTCTCCTTTTCTTCCACCCCGGACAGAACTTTTTTTTTTTCCCCACATATGAAAGGTTCCCTCCTCCTAGCCAAACCTTACACTGATAAAGGTCAAGTTAAGCTGCTTTGAAACTCTGAGCATCAATACAGCTTTTCAAGGTGCAAGGTAAGAAGGAAGCTTCTTTGCAGAAGCAGGTGGTTGAAATATAAGGGGTTTTGAAAGCTGCAACACAAAGATGTCTCTCCCCCAGACAAAGAGATAAGCAGATCCATTCTGAGGATTTAGGCATACCAGTTACAGCATATGAAGAGAGAAGTGGTGAATATCTGGAAAAAAACAGGTGAGGCAGGAAAGCTAATCCTGACTCAGAATAACATTTAGCCCGACCTCAAGAACAAGCCAAGAGATCAAGTCTACCAGAAGAAGACTTGAATTTGTAAGCAGCTTGTGTGTTTTATTTTCTGCTTTTTGTTTGATTCATTCTGGGCACAGGAGTTACCACCTGGCTTCACTTTCTCCTCCCCCTGATTAGAGCAATCAGTGAGACATGGAGTTTTGATTAGCTGCTTTTAGCAGACGGGTGACAAGCACCATGGTGTTCACCTTCCTTCTGTATGTAGCTGTATTAGCAAATTCAGTCTGCCCGGCCTTCTGTGGTCTCCTACAGCTTTTCTTAAATACTCTGTAGAGAAGGTATGGTTTCTATGACAGGATAGGTGAGGCCAGCTTCCTGCTTCTGATCTCCTCTTGATGCCCACGCTGAATCGTTGTCAGCAGGCCTCCCGGCAGTGGCTGCTTACATGTGGTACTCTACAGAGACACACTAGGTAGTTTCCACCCAGGTGAGCAGAAGCTCAGACTGACCGCATCAGTTACATTCAGATCATGTTGTCAAACTTTCAAGTATTTGGAGGGAAACATCATCACAGAAGAGTATGCTGTGCACCTGAGAGGGATGAGGATTAACTAGAAGCAATGAAGGGAATATAACTAGGTGAAGGCACATTTTCTGTATTTAAGCAAAGATAACATGGAAGAGCTTTTTAAAGGAAGCTTTTTCATTCTATCCGTTTGAATGTTACCTGTATATCAATCCTGTTCACAGCTGAGAGAAAATCTGACTTTCAATTGTTTATCTTCTCTAACTCAGTTACCTGCAGTTCTGTTTTTCAATAGAGATCTCACAAACCCAAACATAGTATTAAGTACATTCTTAGTCTAACAGAGATGTCAGAGTACTGGAGTACTTACAGCAAAAAACCTCTCCAAACCTGCCACACCTAGAGCATACCTTTCTGCCCCAGGAGCAAAGTCTTCTCAGAACAATATTTTTTTATTCTTTATTGCTAGCGTGATACAGCTGAAGATGGTGAAAAACTCCAAGTATGTTTTACTTGAGCTCATAATATGGCCACGCTACAGAAGGCTGTAATGAAATGGCTGCTAGACAGATACAAAATTAGTGAATGACATCCTTAAGATCACAGAGTTTTCATTGTTTTTACTGTTGTTTGATAGCATTTGCCAAACTCGGCAGAAATCCCTCCTGCCACCATACTGGGAATTTGAGCACTTCCTATAACAAAGGAAACAATGATCAACAGATGCTGTCAAACCTCTTGAAACCTTCTGCACCATTTTTTGGCACTGCATTCCAGCAAAATTTCACAAACAGCCTGTCTCCCTTGGTCTGACTACTGGCTTGTATTCTTTCCCAAATGGATTCTTTGAAAGGAGGTAACATGCTCATGGACCAGGCATGCTGAGAGAAGGATAGAGAGAACTCTTGAAAACCTTACAAGAGACCCCCTCCCAAGATACAGTGAGAAACTTCAGCCCTAAAACTAGAGGAGGGATGGGAAACTTTTGGTCCAGGGGTTGCCTACAATCCACAGTTTAATTCTTCATGTTACTACTGAATAACACTAAGATGTCATTTAAAGTACTGGCATCCTTTGAAAGCCACAAAACAGGAAAGTGTTTTGAATGAACAATTGCAATTAGTGAGTCATCAAGAGGAATATTATTAGAAAGAATTATTCTGTACTTCTGACGTTAAAATAGTCATCTTTGTTGATTTTTACCACAGGTAGCTAAGACGTATGAGTGGCTAGCATGTCTCAGCCACTTCTGGGATGGAGTGCTGAGATACAACCACTCTTAATTACTTAAGACCAGGAATGAAAAAGAACAGAGTGAAACTAGCCAGTAAGTGAAAGACTAGCATTATTCAAATTGTTATTTACTTTTAGTAAAAAGCTCTCAACCCTGCTCATACCAGTGCTGCCTGGGAATAATTGCAAAATGGTAGGGCTGTTACTAGGAGGCTGAAAGACAGACATTTCCAGCAACACCAAGCCCTGGAGCAATAGGTTAAGTATTAGCTAAGACCTGAGAAAGCCCTGGCAATGGTGTTTGCTGAAGGGAGAAATACATTGAGAGGAGGAAATGGCAGATGAAAATAACTTTCGCAATCTCAGAACCTCCTGTGGAAACTCCCTACCTATGTAGAAAAGCTGGTGCTCATATCCTCTGTTTACTTAAGCTCAGAGGCACTGATGTCACAGGCCAGGCTTTTCCCAGGTTTTATTTCAAGCCTTTGTCAGAACATCCAACCATTTCCTAAAACATTAATACATCAACAAGAAAGCGGCAAGTGACGCTGCTGAAACTGGGACGGGTTATTGACAGACGTGTTGTTACGCTGCCGAAGGCTACTGCTAGTTTCGGCCAAATGACAGGCAGGAGTACGCAAACTGCGTGCGCGCGTGCATGTGCAGCTGCCTTGTGGAGGCACACTGCAGCACTGACGTTCGGGGAGCTGGCTGAGAGCCAGCGTGGAAAGAAACAGCATCACACTAATTTCTTCTTTTTTTTAATTAACATTTGTCAAACTTGGAGAGAAGCCCAGGCTGCAAAATTTGGATGCAAAATTCAAAGAGCTCAGAAGCTGGAAATGTTCACGTACAGGCTCTTCATTTATGCCTAGTCTTTTTTATAGGTCATGCAGAGATGACTTAATTGCTCTTACTGTAACTTACAATTAGCAATACAGTGATTTTTTTTTTTGTATGTCATAGTTTCATAATAGTAGGTGGGCATTTGTTTTCCTTTTCAAGAAAGAATTTTCCCTGAAGTTCCTCTTTTTTGGGTAGGGGATGAGGGGAAGGCCTTTAATGCCGTCAGCAGAAAAGGGTGAGAATATTTTGACCAGATCTGGGAGTTGTTTGTAACAGCTGGTGGTTTCTCAAACTCATGTGAACTTCTAGTTCACCTTCCTGCACAGCACTCACCAATGCAAGTTCAAACGATTAACTTGCATCATTACTGAAATACTGACTTTTTGGTGTATGACTGAAAGTCACTTTTGAACTCTTGCAATTTCAATATTAAGTCACTAGCTCCACAGAGGGGTCTCTATGCAAGAATTGGATTAAGAGGTAAAAATCCAGCCCTTACTTTGCACTTTTTACCAGCACAGCACATAATATTCAGCAAATCATGGTGTCTGCTGACATTAGAAGAGAATGGGGATTGGAATATTGTATTTATTAACGATGGTAATGCATGTAACATCACTCTCAAACATCCTAAATGGCCTGTAAACAGCACCTCTAATAGGGTACCGAGGTACCAAGCACTAAGGCAACTTCCAGTTCCTACCAGGGCACTTGCATCCTTTACATCCTAGCCTAGAGATAAGATAGCCCAGGGAAATAACACGTTGAGTCATATGACGAAGTTCAGAGGGATTTCAGAGCTGCAGAAACCCTAAGAAGTAATAAGTTGCTAGTGTTCCTTTTCTGGAGCTTTGGGGAGTACATGCAGGAGAGTGAGCTGGCTACTGATGAGCCTTCCTCAGCTACACGTTTCCAAGAGCCAAGTCCCAGCTTTCCCTGGGGCCGCATGTGAGAGTGAACTATTGCAGTCCTCATGGCAAGGACAAAACCCATGGCTTCTCTAACCAAATTCAGCAAATGAAACTCCTTGTTTGTCCTTCTGCGCTACTTCTGGATCTGTCTACAGCTAGCTTCTATTTGGCTTCTAGATGACATATAACAGTGACACTGTGCCTCCACGCTGATGTATTTCAGAGGACTGAAAATGTTAAGAGACCTTGGAAGAGGAGAGCTGTATATAAGAGTTAACTCTTAGGAATAAGTCCTTCTGTCCCAAATATTCTTAAGAAGAGAGACTGTTTTATAGCACAGCACAGCTTCACACGCATCCTACTAACTTAAAGACACCTTCGTTTTGTTGGTTGTCAGTTCTGACATTGCTAGATAATGAGCAATGTATGAAATAATATGAATCAAGTGATTTAATTTTAATGTGGCTTCTGCTTCCTGCATTGATCCAGCAGTGGAATAATTACACAGATAATTGCTTTTTTAGAACAGTCTTTCAGGCTGCTTGTGACAGACCTCATTGCTCTCCACATGCTTTTAAGGAAGGTGGTGTGGCCGCTTGCTGGATCAGTAAGACTGCTTTCAAAGCAGGGTCAAATGGTTTTACTTGTCTAAATGGGCAAATGCCATTCTTTGCCAGATGACAATTAAGGGCCACATATCACTCTTGAGACAACAACAGAAGTGTCCTGCTTAGATTAATGCAGTTTCAGACAGCACCGTGAAAAATAATGTAGATTAATTGCGTATAATTAGCACACTGTTTTAGAATTACTTTTGCATAAAGGAGGCTAGCTTTTCTTCCGGAGATTTTTCTACCACATTAGAGGGTTTTTGTCCATGCTTGTCTCAACAGATTCACTTCTAATAGAATAAGAGGCTCGATTCATAAGGGAAGGTTTTTGATTAATTGTGTTTGTTATATTAGCATGAAGGAGGAGTTTTTGGGGGAAAGTATTGACATAAACAGCATTTATACAGGACAACGTTTGCAATCCAAAAGCATCAGTGAGCTGCTTTGCAGGCAATGCAGAAGGGGATTGCTTTATCTTAAGTTGAAGTAAACTCACTGTTAAAGTAAATATGCAGTAGCAACACCACCTAACAAAGGGAACATGAATAATAACTTTTCTAATTTAAGCTGAATGTGGGAGGATATAGGTAGGCAGCAAAAGAAGTTGGAAACCGATTTCCAGTGTGATTCACAGAGATTTTCAGCAGTTGCTTGCACAGGTAAATTATTACAGTTGACATTTACATATAGCTTTTCACTTATTAAAATCTGATGGGTTTAGGGCTTTTTCTTTTTGGCAAATGAAATACTGAAGCATAACAAAGTTAAGAAACTGGCTCATGGTACTACTGTGTCAAGTGTCTTGACTTTCAAACACAGAACTGATCCACTGATTCTGCAAAATACTGCTCACCTTTAAGTGAGAGAAATTAATTGCAAGATGAGTGGAATTGCCTACAGAAGTTAGGGGAGGATTTTAATATCACTGGAATTGTACCAATATTGTCCATAGCTTATGAATAATGGTAACCAAAACGATGTACTAATACTTTAATAAGGTTATTTCTTTGTTCCACGCTCCTTCATTACCAATAACATCTAGAATCACTCCCTACCTACACATTTACCAAGACAAAGGGAGCTCCCCATTGCCATTACATTTCCAACCCTTTCCTCCTACATTTTTCTTCTCATTCGGTATTACACAACTAGATTTGGCAACATTTTTCCTTAACAGAGATCAAAATTAGGTGTTCTGACACAAGAACAGAAAACAAGAATAATCCAAATTATGTCCACAGAGCTCTATTACGTACTATAAATGAAAGCAGCGTTTGACCCAATGCTAATATAAAGTGCCTCTGAAACAGCGATGACACATGGTAAAAAATTAGAAAGCCAACAGTAATTTCCAAACTGTACTTTCTACATTCTTTGGTCTTATATATATTTTGTTATCATTGCTTCTGTTAGAGGCAATGAAAAAATAATTACAAAAAACATCCATACCAGTCTATCTAGAGGATCACTCAAAACAAAACAAAAAAACAAAGCGAGGAATAAGGTGATTGTCCATTCACAAATTTGTGTATGGCTGCTCTAGGAGCATGCCAATATTATTGAAACATTAGTTTGTTGCTTAGTTCATAAACTTCAATTCAAAGCAACAATTTACTTTTACTTGCAGCTGATACCAGTTTTGACCCAGCCTTTTAGAAAGGGTAATGCTTTATTATTTCACTATCATCAATTAAATACTTTATACTAAATCTATGTAAATGGTAATAATAGACATTTTAAATTCCCTTCAAGTCCTTTGCAAGCAATTTTTTCTTTCAGCACTGTAGAATATCAAGATTACACACTGTCAGTATCATTCTGTAGACTTTCACACTACATAACGTTCTCCAATGAAGTAGAGACATGTTCATTAATAAGAATTTATTAGTGTATTTGGAAGGGATCTGCAGTAAATCTTTACAGCACAAAACTAAACATGGCTCCATGTTGAGTCCCAAGTGCATATTACTTCTTAGAAATGCATGACAAGCATCTTGTGAAAAAAAAAAACCAAAAAAGAAAAACAGAACTCCACGCTCTCCCAACAAAAAGGAAACCTCAAAACGAACAAAAAAGCAAATTGTAGAAAACTGTATTTTGGGCAAACCAAGTCACCTCCAAACAATTTTAATAGGTACCTACTGTGGCTTCTGGAATCATTGTAGCATGCATATCTCTAGTCATATTGGATTTCTCTTTCAGCTTTGACTGGAGTAATGTGTGTTCCATTACACCAATTTGTATGTCCATCTGAATGGTTTCTTGCTTCAGTTTTGTTAAGGCTTGTTTAATCTTCACTAGAGGAGCTGTTAAAAAAAAAAAAAAAAAAGGTAACAGTACAACTGTCAGCTACTTAACACAAAAGCATTATTTCCTATAATTCACTCCTTAAAATTTAAGAGTTGAATGAACAAAAGGGCGTTCTACTCTAAAGACTTGATTGTACTGATACATCATTTTTAATAAGCAAGACACTTTAAAGATAGAAATAGGCAATGACAATTTTGCTGTCTTCTTGACATCTAAGATCTGCACAAAGATGTGCATCAACATTAAGATAGGTTTGTCAATGATGCGTTTGCTCAGTTGAAAGCCTCATCCCGATAGCTGACTTGGGGTTTGGTAGAGAACACAAGACACCTTCAGCAGGATGTCATCTTACCCGTGAACAGCTACTAAAATGTTTTGTGCTCCATACTTTGTTCTAATCCCTCGCTTCCCACTAATATCACCCTAGGGATGCTGCTGCTGCATCATATTGCCCCTTACAGTTCTGGGGTCTAGATGCTATCCTGACACTTGGCCATGCCATAATACAGAAAAGGTGTTGTGAGGCAGGTGAGTAGCTCCTTCACAGTGAAGCAAGGATGCACAAAATTTCCTTAAACAGTAACGCTTACAACTAGTTAGGTAAATTAGCTGTAATGGATACAGTTAAATATGGATACAGCTTGCATATTTAGCCCTCCTGTAACATGCATCAATTTATTTCTGCATTCATACTCCTTATACATTTGCAACAGAATGCATTTATCAGGAAAAATCTCAAACCACCAAATTCCGAGTCCGAGACAAACTAATTCAAACAGGTATGCAGTTTTAAATATTAAAAAAGTGCAAACATCAAAACACCAAAATGAATTTTCTTACTGACTCCAGCCAGCCTTAGTCAGGGAATCTAACAGTTACTGCCAGTAACTATTTCAGAGTAAAAGGGCTTGAACTTGTAATGTGTGAATTTCTTCCAGTGAGTTGATAACTTTAAAGCAGAGACACCCCCCCCCCCCCCTTTTTTATTTTTGATTTTTTAAAATAATTTACCAAAGGGGGAAATTCTGGAATCTCTACCTTCTGCAGACTTACATAACCTTTTCAAAGAGGTTTAGACTCCTGATTTTCTTAAGACACCTTTTAAAATTTTAATACTGATATTTTAGACTAGTCACTCATTCTGGTCTTGTTTTATTTTTCTTTAATAAAAGACAAGTTATGTACCTGTAACTGAGAAAACAGGTGTTTGGTTTGAGGCAAAAACATACTTACCACCATCGGTCATACTGCTTCCTTTCTCTTCCGTTTCCTGCTTTACTCTCTCTAATACTTCTGTAATCTTAAAATAGATATTTTTTCCTTAATTAAACGAGATGAATGTCAAGTTAAAAAAAGAAAACAAAAAAAATTCTCTGCTGAATAACTGCATTCGTTAAAAAAAATGAACTGATCTTAGTTGTTGCATACAGAGGAACAATTTTTTTCAAACATTAAGAAAAATTTAACTGTAAATAAATTAATGTAAAAATTACAGGAAAAAGAACAACAAGTTGGCCAGACAGCATGGTGTTACTGAGAATCTGTGCATCCCAAAACAATAAAAACAACAGTATAAGTGTTGCAGCGTGATGCTGGATGGAAGATAGGAACCAATGTCCCCGCAGACCAAGATTCACCAAATGACCATGCCAGCTGCCCTTCTGGAAGTGTCAGGACTTCAGCAGGTGATGGTGGAAACCTGAGAAACAGCTCTGCAGCAAAAGAAGGTGCAGCAGTCAAGCCTGCTGGCACTGGTGGGTATGTAAAACGTGTGTATGAAGAATAAAAGTGCATTTCAGCACTATCTATCAACCAGTTTCCCTTTGTAGACGATGAAGAGAAAGCAAATATATGATTCTAAGGTACAGCCTAGGCAATAATTCAGTATTTTTGTCTATAATATAAAAATGGCCCTTCATTAAGGCTTCAATAAGCCTTTTCAGTAACAAAGAAGAAAAATTGCTGCATTGTTATTGTGTACCTACAATGGTACTAGTATCGCCAAGTGGGCTGAGATTTGATTGCATGCTTGAAAGCAGATCAGTAGTAATATCTGAAGTGTCTAGTTTATCTCAGATATGCACCACTGCATCTACATAGCTTGAAGGCTGCCAGCTAGTAAGATGTTCATCGTTACTAATCAGTCAATAACTTCCAAAGCACAAACACATTATAAATCTGAAGTCATCGTAAAGTACTCTCTTTTTCAAAGTTACTTACTTGAGAGTGAAGTAGAAGGAAGCTCTAATTCGGCAGAATCCATACACCCAGAAATCTTTGCTAGAAAACTCTCGTTAAACTGCTGTATTACCTATTGCAGTTGGACTAGATGATCATTGTAGGTCCCTTCCAACTGAACCATTCTATTCTAAAACATCTCAAAATTGTTTTACAATTTCCAGCACGTTCTTATGGTGTGATCTATTTTATGTAACTATTTCAGACACTTTATTGTCTATTAAGTAAAGTGGGTTTTTCAAACCGAAACAACAGAGACATTAAAAAAATAATTTCTGAATTGACAAAGGGTTGAAATATTTGGAAATCAGGCAGTAATTCTAAACGAAATGCCATGAAACAGTCAACATGCTGAGGCAGTTAGGAGTCTGGGTATTTTTCTTTAAATTTGTCAGAGCACAGATTTAAAGAAAAAAAAAACCAGAAGAAAAACAGTTTTAGGTATTAAGATAATTTGACTGGTATGGAAAAGTTAATATTTAGTCAAATACTGCTTTTAAGTGCTTAGAAGATGAAAATTTCAAATTGTTAATTTTAACTAAAAATAAGAGTTAAGCTTTTCTTCTTCCAAAGAATTTATGGACATGATTTGATTAATCCTCAATAATTCTAGGACACAGGTTATAAAATACAGAACATTTACCATCTTTTACAAACTGGGGAAATTAAGAGCTCACAATAGTTTGCCCAAATTCACAAGTTAAAAATCAATGGCAGCCTGGGTTTAAAATTTAGGGACTGGACTAGATCACCTCCACTAAACAAACAGATTAACACAAGAACGAATCAGAAAGAACGGGGCTCATAAAACCGCAAACGCTAAATGCCAACTCTCTGAAGATTGTTTTACGTGAAGATGTGTTGTACCTCAGAAAGCACTCTAATCCTTTCATTTACTCCTCCACTTCCCTCTTGGTACTTCTCTTTAGCCTGGAAAGAAACATGGTTTTTGCTGTAAAGACAAAGCTGAAGAGATGTATGCAGATAGCTCAGAGAGAACACCAAAACTTGCTCTCACAAGTCCCAATTCCAGAAACTCTCCTACAAAGTCCTAATGATGTTTACAGCGCTACACATATGAGGACAGGCTTGAAACATCAGCCCCTCTAATAACTATCATGCAAAAATTTAAAGTGGTTTTAAAAATTGTAATAGCCCTAATACATACACAATAAGAAGTATGTTTTCTAACCATTTACATGAGGAAATAAACATAAAGAAGATTTGCCAGAATGCAGACAAAATTGAATCCTGAAACCCAGAATACTTCTTCATCAACAGTAAATTACTATCTTGAAGTTTCTTAAAAGTTTAACAGTAAGGAAAACAGAAAGCACAGACATCAAATCCCGTTAGCCTTATTTTAATGTTACGCCCACAAATAGGAGGGCTCGCCAAATGGCAGCTAATACAGGCCTTCTAACTAGGGGACCAAAAGCTTCTCAAACAGCACTCTACTGGCATAAAACTAAATGAAGCAAAGAAGTAATTGGAGGGCTTTGTGCACATTAGCATGAGTAATCAATATAGGAGATGAGTGCTGGACTGAGACTGTAGTTTCTTCCAGACATCACAGATGTGTGAACTTCACGTGGAAAGCAGAACTAGCAATTTACTAGCTGCTCAAGATTGGCAACAGATTTACATAATATTCAGGCAAAACCCATTTACTTTCCCTTGTAGATGAGTTGAATAAAAACTGCTAGTTTAGCTTAAAAACTATATAATTTGACAGCCAATCAGCGTTTCCCCTGCTTTATATCCAACAGCAGAATTCATGGATAACTCCTCCGTGTCTTCTTTGCCTTCATCCTCACTTAATAGCAAGTTAATACTAGAGAAGGCAACAACAAAAGATCAGTGCTTACCTCACTCAGCAAGGCTTGTGCTGAACGGTACTCTTGAACCAAGTGCTCCAACTGATTGTTGATGTACTTTTCCCTGCTATTGATCTTTTCCAATGTTCTGCTGATTTCATTATGGAGTTTGTCAAGGTAACCCTAGAAAATAATATTCTGTGAGTTGACAGTATACAGATAGTATGCAAAGAGTATTAAAATGGTGCTGTAATTAAGAAAAGATATTGAAGCCTACAAGTAAGAGAGAAAAATAGTACAGAAATGCTGTAAGAAAAAATTACTCCTAATGTTTTCTGGTTTGCCCACCTCCAAAACACGCATTTCAAGCTTTACTGCTTCCATCACTCTCCCCCTTCAATTAATTACAAATGTCAATGTCAGTAAGTTACTCTAACAACAGGATTTGACAGTATTTTGGGGTTTTTATCAGCACTTATTTTCAGATTGTATTATTGTATTATTCTATTTTGCCCTCTGTAGTCAGGATGTACTTAGGGTAATGCATATGTTAATGAACCCTAATATCGCTGTTAATCCTCACATATACAACTCTTTACCACAAGATATTTTGCCAGTCCCACTGTCCCTAATCATCATTATGTTTCCCTTTTTAGTTTTACAGCATTAGCACAAAATAAAATGAAAAAAAAAAAAAATCAATTTAGTTCTTAATGTATATCAAATAAAAAATAAAAATGCTGACAGATCAGTGAAATATTCTGTGCATACAAGACATACCCTAGTTTCTTTCAAAGAAGATTCAATTCCATCCTTATGCTGATGCATTTGATCTACATGAATCCTCCAATCCTAAAAAAGATGCCACAAAGTAAAACAGAAGTAAGTACAACTTTTAACTTTCTCTGGTTACTAAACAAAGGCTGGTACACAAGGCAGGGTCAGTTCTCTTTTATACTATTACCGTGTATCATTCTGCCACTGACATGTTCATATCCAGAGGCACTTGCTTAATGTGACACAATTTATAAATCTCCTATATGTCACATGTGACACTTGGATCCATAAACACACACTGACATCCTCACTGATGCCATAGTAGCTATGCTTTTTAGTCTGTTTGATCTTCATGGAACTATTTCTGCTAGAAACCACTCTGGGCACAAATAATGAAAATATTGATTATAGCTGCACTAGCTCAGCTTATTGTTAGACAAAATGAGTGCTTCAAATGCCCAACACCTACCATCCAGATTATCAGATCTTCTCTTTCTACTCAGTCCCTTACTATTATCAGGAGAAGAATGGAAAGAAATGAAAGAGGCAGAAATACTTAAGCTTATTTTTGATAGTGGGAGAAAATTAGAAGGGGGAAAATTATTTGCAGCTTCTAGGTCATAGGAAATATACACGGACTTAGGGATGAGGGATGAGAAAAGGTGCTGTTTTAACTTGATAGGAGGCTTCTTTTACTTAGAAATCAATTCCAGTTCCCAAGCTTTATCACAAATTTTTCCTTATCAATGCAAACTTTTTCCATCTCCTGGACCAAAGCACAGCTGCAGCCAGACCGAGTTCAAAATGAAGCAGAGTAGCAGCACTGCAGAATTACTGCTATTTCAGTATTGTGTTTCTGAACATGCTAAAAAATATTTTTAAGATTTTTAAGCTTTTGGCACTGTACTGGTCTAGGTGTTAAAAAAAAGAGTGATGTTAATAAATCTTTATCACTTGAAATCAAACCTTAGGAGACTTCCTTGTAAAATAGGCACTGTAAGGATACATGGAAGGTGACAGTGTTTGCTTCAGTAAGATTATCTGATCAGGGACCTTGTCAAAAAGGATGCTAAGCAAAACATAGAGAGGCACAAAACTGACTGACAAACAACAATGGAAGCAGTAACAAGAAACAAACCTGGCCAGTTACACTAATGGATAAGGGCATGTGGAGTGTGAGAATGTTTGTATCAGTACAATTAACTGATTGAGGACCTTGTCAAAATGGGATGGTAAGGAAAAAGGGGAGAGGAAAAAACAAAACCTATGGAGACACAGACCTGTCAGACAAACACAAAGGGAGACAAGAAACAAAGCTCATCAGTCACACTAACTGATGGGCTATCAAGAAACTGCAAGCATCACTTCAAAGAAGGTGAACCTGGCCCTTGCAACTGGTAAGAATGCAAGCTTGGGGGTTCTGGATATTCGGGAGGAGGATTGGTGCCACTATGCAAACTGATGAAGCAATGTGCAGGGGGAGGACTGGGGAGGAGAAAAGTGGGGAGCAGAGAGGGGTATAAGAGGAGCTGCTGGTCATGTGTAAACTGTTGCCAGTCAGTCCACTTGTCTGACTGAGCCCTAGGCCTGATCACTGCAGTCTGTCCTACCTTCTTATTAAATTCTTTTTTAATTATCTTTCTGTGCACTCTCACTCTCTGTCCCACATGGGTATGAATGCTGCAAGGACTAAGTGCCCGCTGCTAATGAGAGGGGATATGGGGCCAGCAACTGGAATCAAACCACGGCTGCACATGTCCCAGGCCTGTGGTGTCTGCAGCCAGAGAGAGTGGGGGGTCTCAGTGCCAGCCACAGGAGCAGGTGAGGGTCTCAGCCACCACGGCAGGACTGGTATGCGTCTCAAAATCCAGCTACTGGGAAGGACCGGTATGAGTAAAGCAAGTGAGGGGCTCAGTGTCAGCAGCTGGAGCAGGACTGCAGGTCACAAGCCCATGTTGCTGGTGCCAGCTGCTGCGGTGGGGACAGGCAAGTGTTTGCATCTTCCCTAAACCCGCTGTGCACGTGTAAAATTCAATGGCAGACTTAAAACTGAACTAGCCGTCGAGTAGTAGGCCCTAGACCCAGGCCTGGGTATATGCTAGTATTCAGGGGGACCCACAAATACAGACTGCCCTTAAGACAAGCGTATGAGTGTGTGCATCCGTTTTGCTGGCAAGCATCAAGCTGGACTAACCAGCCAGTAGAAGAGCACTGAAACAGTTAAGAGGGCCTAGAATCCAGGCAGGGGGATCAGACAGACAGAAGGACCATGCCAGTAGTTGAGGGATCTATGATGTGCATGTGCTTGTGAATCTAGAGAAGGGGGTGTGCGCTTTCACTACTGAACTTCAATCTTAATTAGCCGAAGGGAGGAAGGGGGCCTGGCTGTCTGGACTTATATTTTATGGGAGTCCTACAAGTGCTGTTGAAGACAGGGCCTTGCTTATGGCAGTTTGTGTAGCTGGCCACATCAGGGTCCTTTGTGTGTCTGCGTGATACATGCTTAACTTTGCTACTGGTTGAATCTGCAAACAGGAAAGAAGCAGCAGCTGCATCCATCAGGCTGGGATGGGGACCCACAGGTCCCCAGGCACACGGGGCTGGGCTGCAGCACCTGCACAAGAGGAATTCCCGATTCCCAGGATACAGCCACTTATACCGTACAGGTACAAAACAAATCCTGGCTTAAAACAGCTGCACGCTTAAACATGTGCCATCCTTCAATCACAGGCAGTTCCACTGATTTGAAGTGAGGCCATCCCCCTGCTTAGGACATGCACATAACTACCATAGGACCGGTGCTTCTGTCGCCCTATGTCAGAAGAGCACAGTGGAGCATCTCCAACAGCCGTTCAGCCCATGAAGTTCACCCGTTGTCTACAACTGTGCTCCCACCCACTATTCTCTTCTAGAACGAAATGAAGGCTAGTAGAGAAAATGTGCTTATGTTGGGTTTTAAGTTTGCAGCAGACTCAAGATCTTTTGTTGGTCTGGTGACAGTTGTTCACAATTTGCCAAACTTTGGAGTTTAAATAAAAACAACACCACACACACACCCCCGCCCTCACCCCCACCTCCCACCCCTGCCCAGGACTTTACGAATAAGTTCTAGTTTCTAATGCCATTGATTAAACTATTAACCTGCTCCTGGTACTTTGTTTGCATGTACAGCTTGGGAAACAGAATATGATGCTTTTCTTGTAGCATGAAAGAAGGCCAAACACTTCTCTCCAGTCATTTCTGAAAGTATGAAAGCACAGAAGCTAGAAAAAGAAGAATCCTCTTTTATGTTCATTTTGACATATTCCTTAAAGCCAAGAGATGGTGCATTAAACTGTAATCTAGTAAACTTCAGTTCCTACAGTGGCTTTAATTTTCCACGTATGTCTTTATTAAGCTTTAATTTCTTACTGTGAGAATCAAGCATCGTGTTCTCTGTAACAGATGAACTTGCCGAGGATCACAGAAAGGTGGCTCAAACCAGGCAATTCTTCACATAGAAGAATGCAGTATAGTGTAAGACAGGCAAGCAATTTAGCAGACAGTTGAGAGCTTAGCCTATTTTTGGCAAGATAATTATCTTTCATTGAATTCCGTATCACTGCTGCAGATTGCTCCAACACCCCAACTAGCCGGGTCACTACAAATGAGCAATTTCAATACTGCACTGATCTGTGTATACTATACAAGCTCCTAGAAAGAATGCTTATGGCAATGCCAGGAATAGGTCCTAGGTTTGGACTTGCCAAAGATAGAAGTCTACTTCTAAGCTGCTCATTCTAGACTCTTTGAAATAGATTATGGAGAGAAATACACATTTCTAAGAAATGACGAATTTCACCTTGAGGTAATTACCTGGATAGGTAAGTAAAATCGGTTGAAAAATTACTCCTTTTTGCTAAACATAAGGAGAGCCCATGATGACTAGATCAGAGGTACGGACCTACTTTATTATCATGCAAAGTTCAGCAAGATGAATTCCATACAATCAGCCTTTCATGTGGTTGACAAATGGAACAGTTGAAAGATAAGAAGTTTATCAGCTCTCTTCCAGGAAGATGTTTTAATACCTGCTAAACTGAGGGTATAATTTTTCAGAAGTGTGAATACATTGGAAATGTTTAACTATTTAAGAAGTTTCCACTGAATAAATATATGGCAATAAATCTATAGAAATAAGGTGCCCTGTAAGTAGCAGAAAAAATTATTCTTATATGATGTTGGGAAAAAAACCTGAAAATTATTGCTTCTAGGGTCAAAGTAAGTGACAAAGGTTCAGACAAGATAGCACTGGAGAGCTCATTATTCACAATTCTTGGCATGGCAAAAGAAAAAAATTGTAAATTGAAAGTAAACAACACTTTAATCACTATGTGTACATATGCAAATCCATTCTTGCATACCTTATTGTCAGTCCTGACTGTAACTTTCAGCTGTGGAAGCACACGTTCCACTTCCAGATTCCACTCTGCTGCATCTGTCGTGGACTGTAAAATCTCGTCTTGCTTTGCAGTGTCATTCATGTCCTGTGTAAAAATCACAAAGTTTATATACAAAATATCATCGTTACACACAGTGAGAACTGTTAGAAATCATGTTACAATGGCTTACAGTGTTCATATTCAGAACAATACTTATATCTAAGAATGATCTAGACTACAGATGTAACAGATCAATGGATTTCTTTGAATTCATAAATATTAGGAATTAAAATAAATATCTTCTCATCATATTTAAAATTGAAAATAATTACATTTCTATAATAAGAAATTATAATACCTTCCAGTAATGGGTGTGTGTGTGTGTGTGTATCAAAATATATTCAAGAAACTAATACCATGTTTCCCTAAAAGCCTCTGCAAAAATTTCTTGCAAATGTGTCCAGCAACCATCCAGCGATACCAGTTTAGAAACTGGCTGCATATTTTTCTTTTAAAATAAGCTGATTCATTTCAGTTGGAATGTTTTTTTCAAGTTTAGACTATACAAGGATTTTCAGACTTAAATCCAACAGAAATAAATTGCTGCTACAGATGTAAAAATCTCTCAAGAGAGGACTGATGGGTAACAACTTACCGATCTGTACGTTTGTGCCTTTAGAACATTCAGGTCAATAAAATCTTCTTCACTGTCTGACTCTTCTTCCTTAAGGGAAGTTGAAAAGTAAGAATTCAGTAAATACTGCACAATCTTTCTCCATAATTTTATTTTGCAGGAGCACAGGACAAAGAGTATTAAATTCCATATTTCTGAACAAAACAAGACATGGAGAGTTTATGATAATGGAGCTTGTATTTGCTTAAAATTTTATGAGGAGACACAATATCTGGGACAAGCTGAAAGATGAAAGCTACCCCACATTTCCCTCAGGGTGCCACAGTATTTAAAAACTAAACCAACCAACCAAAAAAACCCCCACAACCTAAGCCCTCTCACATCAAGTGGGCCATTATCAGTAGTTGTATGGTAACTGTAATTTCTTATGCGTTTCCTAAAGCTTTGCATTAAAAATAAAACCAAACCAAACCAAAACCCAAAACACAACCAGACTTGAACATAGTTTTCAAGATGTTTGCACTACATGCAGAATGATGCCACATTTTAAGTGTGCAGAATGATATAATTCAAATTGAGGCAATTGATTTGTTTTCTTGTTCATGACACTACACACTGGGCTGACGGTTTTAGTTCTCTATTATAGTCTCAGAATTGCAATCATCAGTGACCATGATCAGCTCAGAGCCCATCACTACATAAGTAAAGATGCTTTTTCTGTCCATTACCCTCCATTTATCTATACTGAATTTCACCTGCCATTTTATCACCCATACACTTCACTCTTATACACCTTGTCCTTCTGTAGCTCTTCTGTTAGCCATCTTCTCCACCAAAGTCAAATTTCATCATCCACCTCCTGTCTAGAAAAATCATGAAAGCTGCAATAACACAGGTCTTAGTGTAAAACCTTTCAAGACTCAGTTAATGAAAACCTGGGAGCTTATTCCTCTAACTTACCTAGTTTTTAACTAACAGGGACCACTTTATTTTCTTCTGGCATGTTTGGCCCCTAGTCTCCTGAATACTTGCAAGAAATTAACGGTGACTAGACTGGGACCACCTTTTGCTAAATGGACAATATATATTTGTGAAGCACTTATAAGAACATACTACAACACTACCATAACAACAACAACAATACTAGTTACCGGAACTGAGAAACCAAACTGTGCAGATTTCCTTGCACACCCAGCCTCACTGGCTACTGTTGGCTACCTAATATGGACTACACAGTTCCCTGAGATCTACAGAACTAGCCTTGTCTCTGTCAGCCTCATCAACCTTATTCAGAAGAATCAAAACCAAAGAACAATCAATGAACGTCATCATTAGCATTTAACTACTAGAAATACTGCTAAATTCAATTATGGATACAGCTAATACATCCAGGACATATCAATATATTGGCAGCAACAATGGACTGGAGACAAAAAAATTACATCGGCATATAATTAATCCCTGTAGAACCATTAGGGGCTCCAAAAAGTGATTATCCACTTGGTATAAACCTAGCTCAATGGTTTTATTAACACACAAACTCGGAACAGCTAATAGAACATGTTAGTTGTGAAAATCATGGCCTAAGATACTACCTGAGAGCAAATCCAGAGGTTCTTTGAAGGGTTTCAACTGTGCTTTAGTTAACTGTTTCGTCCCCACTTCCCAATTTAAACAGCTTAGACCTTAACAAGACACAGAAAAGAGCAGACAGCTGACTGTTCTCATATTCAAAGCTTTTCGCCAACAGCTTGCATTTCTGAGGCTGGTCAAACATGCAATACAGAATGTCTCTTATTCTTCTCAGAATTACTCAAGACTTTTTCTGTGGAGACTTCAAAGATGATAAACATGCAACCAGACATCCACATCACAATATTTGCATATTGCATGAAATTTAAGAATAGAAGTTTGGAATTTTTCTTGGCTAATAAAAATGAGAAAAATAATGCAATACTTTGGAAAACTGAGAAGAGGAAGAAGAGAAGCAAACTCTTCAACTGCTAAATTCTTGTGGACTATTGTGGCATATAAATTGGGACTATAATCAGAACCATATGATAACATTACTGGCATTCTATTTCCAACTTTTATGACCTTTGAAAAATGTGAACACAAAAATGGGATAGTTGTGGCATTTTCTATCCAGTATTGCTGGGCCTTAACACTCCAGAAAAATGTTTTCTCCTCAACTAATTTACTGACACAGCAAGTGAGCACTTCCAGGCTCACAGCTTTCAATATTTTAGTTTTGATCTACATTTATTTTGCACAGAATCATCAGCTTTTGGAGAAATCAGATGTGAAACTAACTTATTTCTGTAATTTTCACTTTAATTGTCTTCAGCTAACTTCTCTCTCCAGAAAAACTCTTGTTTAAGTCAGCAGTAAAAAAACCTCACTTCAGGGAGACTGACAAAGGCCTGTGAAAATGACAATGTCTTGTGATCACATTATGCTACCAGTTTACAGTGAGACTCCATCTCTCATAAAAATAAATCTTCTGAGAAAGTCAATCAGCAAGAAACAACTTCCGTTCAACATCCATCCATCAGCAAGTCCCAAAAGCAGATTTGAATCTACAGGTGTATTTCATAGTCTGTTTCATAGACATGACAACTTCACTGCAATTATTATGGTTAAAAAGCAGGAATAAATAAAACAGTTGATCCTCAAACATTGCCAGCTTGTTGGTAAAAGAATTTCAAAGCACACAGAAAGACTGATTCTGCAGTCAGAATGGATGATGGGATATTACCATTCCATTCATGGAATATATAGCGATGAGCTGCCATGACTTTTGTCTACAGAAACAATTCTGCAACCTTTATTTAGCTCTTTGTTGGTGTTTTTAAACAAATGCTCTGTTTCCAGTTGTTCTCTTCCATCTAGTCTGTTCCCAAATTTTCAGACCAACTAAGTACCAAAGTTAGTGTTTCCTATTTGCAGTGAAATCTGAGTTATAACAGTGAGCATTCCATTAATTAAGCACTGGGCAAATTTTAACCTAGTATTAGCCAATTCTGTAAACAGGGATTAAAGTTTCGTTTAACATCAACAGCTTGTATCAACAGAAGACAAACAATTGTGAATCTATGTAATTTTAATATATGGTTAGATTCCACTTCACTTTACATTAACTATAAATGCATGTAAGAACATATGCTCCGTCCTGAAGAGTTAACAACCTTATCTGAAAGGAAACAAAAAACTATACAGAGAAGCTGACAATGCAGGAACGGAGATGCAGGAAAAAAGGGTAATTGAACAGCTAATAGAAAAGACTTCTTAAACAAAGCCAAACAAAATGAGCAGTGAGTAAAAATTTCCTCATAGTTGACCAATACTAAGATAATAAAAAACAGGCAGGTAAACCTACCGCAACATCCTCTTCCAGTTTATTAAGTGTTAATTCGGCATCATCTTCTGTTATTTCTTCTTCTTCTAGCTCTTCTGTTGGATATGCTGGCCTGAAATTAGTTCAAAGAACAGTAGAGCTTTTAAACACAGAAAATTAGGAATACCTCTGTAAGTTGCTCCTAAGCGAACAAAACATTTAATGAGAAGTATGGATGATGTGGAACATGACTAGACAGTGATTAGTGTCTCACATACTTAAACAAATAAAATTAACACTCAGTCTTAAAAGTCTTTGTTTATCTTGGATGGTCTTAAAAGTAAGGGTTAGATATTATGCTAAGCCGTACAGTACATTCATACTACAAAGATATCTTGGGAGTAAATTTTGATTTGTTTTCTCTTTTGGTCTAACCTCTTAACATTCAAGTGCAAGTCACCACAGACTTATTTTCAGCCTACAGTAGAATTTGTGTACTAAACAGAAATAACAGTAAAATATTTCCAAGATAGGAATTACTTCCATTTCAAAACCCATCAGAAGGAAGGAATGAAATAAAGAACACTTTTTAAGAAATTTTCTCATACTTGAAGTTATCTGTCATCTAATTTCTCCTAAGATTTCCTTCGGATTAAATACTCAAAGTTACTGCAGCCTAATCGTAACATGATCACATACTGTGCGTACCTCCAACTGAAGAGGTCAAGAATTTAGCTATTGACCGATAGGACCTAAAAGGATATGAAATGTTTCAAGTCAGCTGTCAGATTAACAAGCAGTTATGCACAGGAAAATGAACAAAAATGGGTCATCAGTCAAATCTTTATTAATTAGCTAAGTCTATTAATGGCCCAAACTCATCCTTTCTGGTAATAGATTAAATTGTGTGAAATTGCATTAGGAATTAGTTGGTCCCACTGCTTCAAGCCTAGTTGAATTCTGCATCTCATGAAACATCAAGTAAAACATTTTTAGTCATGTTTTGTCTTTACAATTACAACTTACATTAGTTTGCTGGAAAACAATGCATAAGGGAGGATGCTTAAAAGTGTACTATACCTCTTCCAGCTAAAGCCAGTGTATTTCAAAGCTTCTTCAGCTAAACAATCAAGAACATAGCACACTTGCTCTCCGTAACCTGCCTTTAATTTTGAGGGAGGAAAATCCACAGGCCTTCCCTAAAATAAAGAGATAAGCTGTTTACTAATGGCTACCCATCAATCCGAGTTTCCTCACAGGGAGGTAACAAGATTTTTTACACTAAAACCAAAATGTCCATTGTGTATGAAGATTTTACTAATGTTAATTCATATTCTTCCCCTATGCAGCTCCAGTCAGGCAACGGAAGGGAAAACAGAACAACCCAAGGAACAGATGCAGTGTAGAAATCTTAAAGCACCTGGTAAGAGGATACTCATAGGGAGCAGAAGAGTCAGAAACCGTTAAGGGAGCTAGATGGCCAAGCACACAAGTGACATCCTGGCAAGGTAATAACAGCTATGGAGAAACTCAGGTACTGAGACTTAACCACCAGCTTTTCAACACTGCCTTGTTTATTCCAGATTTTATTTCTAAAATATTCTATTTTTATTTACTGATGTCTTGCAGAGTAAACATCTTAGTTTGTTATGGTTTAACTCCTTTAGAAAACACTGTTCTTAACATCATTCACAGCTGCACCACAGTATAATCTTCCTAAGATCATACTTCCCCTAAGTTGATATATTCTCCTGACCCTCGGGGGGGAGGGGGGAGGGGTTAATATTGAAAAAAATCCCTATAGTTCCTGGCAGTTTACGCAGCTTTTTACTCCTTAACAAAAAAAAAAAAAAGAAGAAAACATAAACACAATTCTAAACCATTTCCTTCACTATGCATTATATACCATTGACTTTGGCAGGATCAGGATCATAAGCACTGTGCAAACTTTCCAGATAAAATCTTTGTAAATTACACTACTATAAATGAGCAACATATGTGGCACTACAAGAAGTAAGCCCAATTTAATCCATTTTACAGATTGTGGAACAAAACTAATTGGAATCATAATACTGTAAGACCATTTTTGTAGTGCCAAAAAATTAGCAAGTTGGTATAGACCGTATAAACTTCCAATTAACTAATTAACATAGTACAAACTTATCCATAGGAAAAGACTGTCCAATCCTTGGGAACATAATCAGACAGGAGAGGAAGTGTGTCATTACTGTTATTTCTGAAGGTGATGCATGTGCTTGAAATACACTTAGGAAAACATCATGTTCAACACTTACAAACGATCGCAATTCTGAGAGTACATTTGATATTATTGCATTGGGGTCATCATATTCTTGTGGCTGTTCGAAAGGATGTCCCGCTTTAGTGATCAGCCAAGCGGCAAGTGTGCAAAACATAAAGAACTGCTCACCAGGATTAGTGGGCAGTGCAAAGTAGTGCCTGTTTAAAACGGAGAAAAAATGGTAAATATTTTGAACTCCTGAAGCTCTTACAGCATTATAAGCCAGCACAGGCTAGAAAGTAGTTTCCTTCACTGACTTTCTCAATGAGTGATCCATCTGAACTAAATTCAGGCTGTCTAGTTTCACACATAACCACAGCAGATTACGTTTTCTACATGCAGCTCATCTGTTTCCTGCTTTGAGCAAGCTATTAATCAACATTAGACTTCCAAGGAATCAAATGGAAACTGGATACTCCTCTGCCCTGCCAGCAGGATTATACAGCTTCAGTTAAACACCACCAAAATAACATTTCCACATAAACCCAAGTTACTCCTCTTATTTACCTGAGCAGTTTCAAATCATGATGAGCTCAATTCTGTTCCCATTTAATTTTAGGGATGCAGAATCCATCCCATCACTTCACAAAATACCACCACTGACTAATTAAGAGCCTATACAATGGATTAATTCAAATGTCCCTTGCATAACATAAAATACTTAAAAGCTCAAAAGAATCAAAAGTCAAAGATCTGCAATTGCCAACAACTTGTAGGCCACAAATAAGCTAAGATTTTGCTAAATCTCAGGCATTGTTCACAGGGCAAGTGATTTACAGTGCAAGACAAAATTTAAAATTGAAAATCATCCTCTGAATAGATTAGCAAAAGTGATTGATAACTACTGTCAACATCACACAGCTAACAGCCTACTTCAAAAACAAAATTAAAATGATCCATTGCTAAAGCTTTATACCTTTACCCATGATGCTAGAAGCCAGGGTGGATTTGTCTCATCTTTTATCTACTTTAGAAGACATTGAAAAATGCTTTAGAAGTGCATATTGCTCCCCTTTAAAGGGAGTTTAGACAAATAGCACAGAGAAGGGTATCTGTATTTGGGTATATGATTATGCCTCTTTAAAAATAAGTAAATAAATAAATAAATAAACGAACTTTGCACCAAGTGACCGCATGAAAACTTGAATGGCACTTCCTTGAGGAGGGGAGAACAGATTTACTGAAGCCTCATTGCTTAAAGAGATGTGTCCTTTTTCTGCATATTGGCCTCATCCATGCCATTATACCACAGTAACCTCACCTCCTGTTCCCTTCTTAACATCCGCAAATACTCTTCCTGATAACAGCAATACATGCAGTTCCTTTTGCTCCAAAGTTCCCCAAACCTCTTCGCCTTCCCATATTCCTCAAGAGCGGCAAGAGGCTGGTGTACCTAAATCAGTGCGTCAGCTCAGGAGTGTGTTTTTTAAGTGATCCTTCCACCCATCCTCACCTGCTGTGCTTTGGGTTGCTTTAGAGAGCAAGGTACACAAACTGAATCTATTTTGGATCACACTAAACCGAAAGATGTGGTCCTAATGAGAATTCAGTCCATAAAATCAGACCACAGTTAATCCCCCCAAAACATAAATCGTGTGCACACTGGATACTCGGAACCAAACTCTTCCCCTTACATGCACGGCTGCTTGCTAAGGTGGGCAAAGGTTTGCTTCCTTGCTCCAAATATATTGATGGTCAGAGAGCTGGCTAAAACCAGCTTATAGCCACTGTGCTCATACTCGAGCCTCTTTCCCAACAAGAGAATAATTTGGACTACATTCTTCCCCCCCTACCAAACTGTTGCTTACAGAAAGTGTGACATGCTGCTGTGGAGCCTGCTTAAAACTGACGAGATGGATTTGAAAGCTGTTTGGGCACGTGGATGTTGGGAGCACGTTGGTCCCGTTTCCCAAGTTTCCTGCCTCCCCACCATAATTAAAAAAAAAAAAGTATGAAACAAATATGTATTAGATATGACTCAAACCAGACTTAAAAACAGTGGGTCCAAGCCCCCTTACAAATACACACACCCCACAAACAGTTACCGTGAATACACGAAATTCGGCTGGGGTAGAATTCTTTTTTGCACAGATACACTGGCATGCAAATATTCAGTATCTACCGGGGGCAGGGAAGGCCAAGTGACCATTTACTTATCACATCTCAGCCTTTAGAGGGACTTGCCGTTTTGAAAGCTTCAGAAGCATCGGGGAAGCGGTGAAGTTGACTGTTTTTCACTTGACCCGGGCACCATGTCACTTGAGAACCAGCCTTCCTTCCCTCACCCCTGACCACAGCGGCCTAATCGCCCCCCGAAGTTCCCTCCTGCTGACGCTGGCCTTCGCACCCAGCCGCGCACACCCGCCGGACGCCTCCCACGCCCCCCGCGGCCCCTCACGCGTGGAGCCTTCCGCGCCCCCGGGCTCCGCCGCCAGCCGGAGCGGGCGAGGGGCACCTGGAGAGCGGCCGCATGTTGTGGCGGCGCAGCGCCTCCTCCTCGTAGCTCAGCAGCTTCAGCTTGTCCAGCAGGTCCTCCATCAGCACGAACATGTGATACGCCGCGCCCGGGCCCCGCTCCGTCGCCATCGCCCCTTCATCGTCCCGGTCCCGGTCCCGCTCCCGCTCCCGCTCCCGCTCCCGCTCCGCCGCCGCCCCGCGCCGAACCCCCCCGCCGCCCGCGGTCTCCTCCGCCATCTTGGAGCCCCGCCGCCGCCGCCCGTAACCGAGGCAACCCGCCCTACCAATCCCCGCCTGCCTCGGCCTCGAAGCCCGCCTCCTGACCCAATCACAGGAGCCCGGGGAGCCGAGAAGCCGCGCCTCTCCGGCGCGAACCACCAATGGCGACGAGGCATGCCGGGTTCAGCATCCAATCACAGCTCCAGAGCGGCGTGACAGCGACAGGGACCGCCCCACTCCGGCTCTCCATACTACTCTCCGCGGCGGAGGGGGAGGGCTTGTAAAGCATCGGGATTCGTCACTTCCGCTTAGTAACCATGGAGACGAGAGGCCGCGGCGCGGGCGAGAAGATGGCGCTGTCATTGTGCCCTCGGGCTAAGCATGGGCGGGCAGCAGCGGATCTTTCCACAATGCTTGCAGCGGAAAAGGCCTCACGGTGTGGGGCGCGGCCCGCAGTCACCCTTCAACACGCGCGAGCTGTATTTCTTAAAGCTTTGCTGCTCTCCTCTGCCTGGCGGGTGGCTCGATCTTGGGCTGTGCGTGCGCCTTTCCTCAGTTAAACACTAACCTAGTACTAAGCTGTGAACGTGCTACACCGTGCAGGCTGAGAGAAGGCAGCAACTGTACCTGCTGATAGAAAAGCTCGTGGCCTGAGGTGCGGTACTTTACAGGTGGATGTATGAAAAAGTAAGTCCTGCGAGCAGAGGAGCTGTAGCTGGAGGTCAGCTGCAATTGCCAGCTGGAACTGCTGTGCGGTGGTGGGGAAGAGAGAGGGTGGGAAAGCTGGTTCTCCCAGGAATGCAGGAGGCACACCTCACCTGCGTACTGCTAACACCAGCTGGGGTCTTTGAGGACGGACGCCGCTTCCCTTCACTTCTTCCTGCATTTTGTTTGTTTTTTTTGTAAGCCCTCTTCCCTAAAATGCTTGAGTCGTTCTATAAGTTTCTTCTACTGGAAACCAAATAGCACACACGAGGCTTGAATTGTCCAATGAAAATGAAGTACTAGTTAAATATTGTTAGAAAATAATTACCTAACCTAGCAGACAGCCCAAGGCACCTGCTGTTCTTGTTTCAGATTACCAACTTTCTGAGAAGAGTGTTGTGATAATTTGTATCTTATGTTCTTTTTGTCCTGTGCCAGTACAGAGTTTACCTTGCTCCCTGTGTCAAGTTCCTATGCTCTGCCTTAGTAAGAGAATTGTCGGTCTCTACTGCAGCTGCGGTACTCATGCTCTCTTAATGCCTGAGCACAATCCCCAAGTGGCATCACCAGTGCTGTAGAAATTGCATTTCTGACGATAACTGATTTCTTCTGTTACTCAGTTACAGCTTGCAGGAGTTATCACTGAAGAGTTTGTTCAACAAAGCCAGGCAAAATAAATGGTTAAGAGAAAAAGCTTTTTAAGCCCAAAGAGGGAGAAGTGAATGCAAAAGGTGTGGAAGCTTCACACGTATAGAAACGTGGTCCATGCTACATAAACAACTGCTTTAATTTATGGGACATGAGTGGACTTGCACATTAAATACTTGAGTTCTGGTATGTGTAGGTGTGGCTGTGAAAGGAGCAGGAAAGAGGCAAAGTTCCACGGCTTCAGGAGAGCTGTATAAGCATTTTTTTTTTTTTATATATATAAACCTTGCCTGCAAGAAACACCTGAAACAACAAGAGTCTGAATTTTTTGGCTACTTATGAAATCAGAAGAGGTAAAAAAACCCCCAACATTCTAATAACAGCTCTATGGTGTTATAAGTGTATGAGGTGGGGGAAATGGGGAATGTGGTATGTCTATATTGAGGTAAACCATAATATTTTTGGTCTACTTCCTCAGACAATTTTTAATGTTTAGAGTGTGGGAACCTTCTTCCTTTGGGAGTACTTCTCAACAACTGAAGTATGGAGTTAGCATTTAAGTCGTAAGAGTTTCATTGGGGGGAGGCGGAGAATTAATTCTCTTTTCTACTGCGGAAAATGCCTTCTGAAGATTCAGTAGGGAAATTCTGGAAAGCTAGTATCATTGTGGCTAGTACGAGATTTTAGCAGTATGTGGTTAACATGGACTTTTTAGAACTTTACACATTTGTTTTTCTTGTTTGCTTGTTGGTAAAACTTGAAATCCTCAAGCATTTCCAGTCCTCATAAGTGTGCATGCGCTTGAAATGTGTGTATGGATTGTCCGGCTTGTAGTTCACAAACAAGTTTCACCATATCTAGTGCACACAGGTGACTCATGGGGGGTTACAAGAGCGACCCAGCCTTGGATTGCCTTGAGGCTCTGTCTCTCTGCAGAGACAACTCATGGGGAGCTGTGTAGACAGCTTAGCCCTGGGTTGGCTGATAAACCCTAAACTAAACAGAGCAGTGGCTGCACCTTTCAAAGAACCAAAACCTGAACTGAGCCTTGAAATCCCGTAACAAATAGTATGCCCTGAGTCTCAATCCAACCACTATTCAGTTGCCTGAGGTAACTGGTAGCAAGGTAAAAAAAAAAAAAGCTGGAGGGTTTCAGCTTCAGTTTTGAACCACCACCTTGTGTATTCAAGCAATCACAGACCAGCAAAAGAAAGATAAGAGGAAACTCCACTCAGATCTGCATAATCCACTCAGGCATATGTCACAATCCACTCAGACATAGTCATACACACCGTTCCACAAGTCAGGGGATAAAACCCCTAAGATTCAGATTGGAAACTGGGGAGTCATTTAGCCAACTATACAGTTGGCTTGTGAAGGAGACTCTTCCCTTGCTTGATTAGGATGCTGGTCGAGGCAGCTTCCCTGGGAGTGAGAGCCCTTACCTGGAGGGGTAAGTGAATATTGTTTATGCTTTAAGTTTGTAAACGCGTGTGTGCTTGTGGTTGTCTGTGAATCGCTTGTGGTCGTAATAGTGTACTACTGTTGCTTTTAAAATTGCAATAGTGCATTCCTCCATTGTATCTGTAAAACCTGCAATAGTGGCATGTTATGTTTGTAAGTGAAGTTCAATTAAATCATTTGCTTGAACCTTGCAGTTAAGTCTGCAAGTGAAGTTCAAGTTGTTTGCTTGAACCTTGCAGTTAAGTGTTTTTCCACCACAATGTGCTGTTGTTAAGTTACCTTGAAAAGGAATTAATCAGAATCCTTTTTACTAAGGAATAAATAACTTTTGTTTTACAGGATTAGGAGAATATTGCAATATGCATAGCTGTTCTCAAAGTGGGTCACAGAGGAAAGTTCACTCAGCAGAGATTGATCCCGATGCCTGTATGCTAGGGGAGTGCTCTGGTCAGGGTTCATATTGAATGCAGAGTTCAGAGATGACGTAGGTCGGACCTGTGGTTTGGTTACTGACTAACAGAAGAGAGAGAAAGCACGTGCCTTTTGATGTTCATTTCCTATAGTGGCCAAAGCAAGTGCAGTGTTGCCCCTGCCACTACCTCAGCTGTTCAGTATGTCTTGGAAGATGCACTTCAGTGCCTTGCCTTGCTCTCAGAAACCCTGGCTGAGCCTGTGGTGGTTCAGTAGGAAATAAGTCTCCTGAAAACTAGAGCATCAGTAACTGATGTGACTACAGTGATCTTAATTCTAGTTGTGTGCTGTCTGTATAATTTCGTATTGATATTTCACTACAAAGCCTTAGGGCTTGATTTCTTGGTTGTGCCATTTAGGCCTGTAACAAACAGGAAAAGCATGTTTCTTCAGTACTTTGCAGTGTGACTCTAACTATCAGCATACATATGCCTGTAAGACCCTAGACCTTCTGAAAAGAAGACTGGCCAGAGCCTACACTCCTCAGGTATTTCTACAGACCAACAAACATTTTTCTCAGCACACTATGCTGGGAAGATCCAAAGCTAAGCACATGAAATTGTACTTGGCTGTTTTTCCTTAGTGGCCTGTTCATGAATGATTAAGATTAATGTTCTCTAGCCCTGTAAGAATACTATGAGTAAACACTTTCTATTTATTAAAAATGAACAGCAAGTATCAATCTGCAAGGGATTATATGTAATGAGAGGACCTCAACTGTTATGAAATATATAGCATTACAGGCCAAAAATCTGGGCCAAGGCTGTGCGAACAAAAAACATCATACAAAAGCCTACAGTCCTGAATAAATTGTACAAAGGAAATTATTTAATTAGAGTCCGTATTTTACCTGCATTTAAACAGGTTTTCTCCCCTCCTTTTATGTTGTCAGTTTGACATGAGTCTACCATGAACCAAAGAAGACATGAAGGGACAGAAAATACCATCTCTTCTCATCTATTTATTTTGCATAGGTGCTACACTTTGGGGTAGGTTTTAGCTCTATTTTTTATGAAAAACAATAAAGATGACAATTATTACTCATTTTTTTAATAGGGGGGAATGAATTAATTCAAACACTGTTTATTAATGGTAAAGAATCAATTTGGGGTAATGTAAAACACTTCTGAAGCAAAAGATGTCTGTTTGGAAGATGGCTGCACAGATGGCCATGGCCATTGAGCACACTGAGCACCTAAATGGTTACCTGCCAGCGTTTCTGCCCACGGCTTGGCTGCTGGAGCACGTCGTGTGACTGCTCAGCAGGCAGTAGTTGTCAGTTCATACTGAAAATGGTTTGAAGTACATTGGTTGACTTTGCACTGAGGAGACTGAGGAAAAGTCATTCGGATTGCCCTGCCAGATAAGCTGGAGAGGGCATAAAAATTTCCCAGAGGACAGCTGCAGCCGGATGCTCACTACCAGCCTAACAGGTTGTCTGGCCTTGGCCAAGAAGGTCCATACGACAATGCTGAATTATTGCAGTCAGTTCTTTAAAAAGATCAATTTAAAATTGTTCTTTTATGCCAGAAAGGCCTAAATTAAATGTTAACAGGAATTAGATGCTGCCACTTGTGTGAATTAATTTTGAGGAATCCACACCTTAATTACCTCTGGGGGCTGGGACAGAGTTCCCTGATGCTGTCTGTAGTAGTGAAGGTGTTTCCAGAAGTTCTGTCCTTCCTGTCAGTTGCACCATCATGTCCTTTTTTCCTGTGACGGTACAACTGCTTGGCACTATGTGAGGTTATTGGTAACCTGAGTCATTGCAACACGGGACTATGAATGTTTGAGCGAGTAGCAAGCTGCAGCTCAAAAGGTTTTGAGGTTGAAGGTGTGCTTTTGGAAACGCATTCGAAGCTCGGGTGGTAAGGTGGCGGTGTACTGATTTGAATATGTAGGTGCTTACTCAGGATATCTGCTTAAACTGATTGTAAGTTCAAAGACTAGAGCTCTGCATTATAGTATGATTAAACTGAATGAAGACCCTTGCTGTCCCAGAGAGATGCCCCAGAAAGCTGTGAAAGAGCCGTTGGCATGCTTGGTAAGAATGTGCTGCCTGCCACAGCATTTTTTGTCAGGGATAAGGAGGGGCAGATATATGCTTGTAGACTAAATTTAACTTATTTGTTTGTACTTACGGGCTTTAGGTTTTACAGAACAGGAAACAGTAATGGGGCTGTTTTCCAAGGATTGCATCCTCCCTTGTCCTTTCCCAGCTGGAAATGATGAAGTAATTTATTGGAAGAAAGGGGAAAAAAACGTGCACAGCTACTACTACCAGAGGGATCAGCTGGAAAGGCAAGACTCATATTACAGACACAGAACACACCTTTTCCACGAGAAAATTCCTAGTGGAAACGCCTCCTTGAAACTTAGTAACCTGACCTTGACTGATGAGGGCCCTTATAATTGCTATGTGGGAACAAGGCAAACTAAAACAGAAGTGGAAGTCATGCTGCATGTAAGAGGTCAGTAAGACATCAGAACTGCTTGGGTTGCGCCAGTGGAAATGGGATTACACCAACAGATTTTCTTGTGTTATTTCTCACATGGACTCAAAATCCTCCAACCTCATAGAGCACCTTTTGAGCCTGATGGTTTTATCAAGCAATTCATTCTCTCTGATGAAATGTTGTAGCATGAGTTGAAAAATTACAGTGCAGGACTTGTTCTCATAACCTACTGCACTGTGATTTCTAAGGGGTAATTAGGTAGTATACTTGAGTTTTAAAACACTGTTTGGCTTCTCAGAACAGTACTGACCCTGGCATTGACAGTAAATAGTGCTATGCTTTCTTCTCACATCAAACACAGATTAAATTTTGTTCTCAGTTGTGTTTATGCTCCCCAATGTTATTTCAAAAGACCAATCACTTCAAGTTAAAAAGGATTTTGAAAGTATTAGGATTGATTTTTAATTTTTTTTATATATATATTTTTAATTTACAGTTTCCTCTTATTATGCACTGGAATACCAAAAGACAGACACAGAAAGGATGCTGAAGTGCTACGCCTTTCTCGCTTACCCAGCACCACGTATATCTTGGGTACAAGGCAATACATCCATCCAAGAAACATATCAGGAGGAAACCAGGGATGGAGTTCTCTATTCTCTTAGAAGTGATCAGAACATTATAAACACAGCTGATCCTTACTACTGTCATATTCATCTCCCTCATGAAGAGTGGGCTGCTGAATGGAGGATGCGAGGTAGGAATGAATGGAATTCTCTTCCTGCATCGTTACTGAATGTAACAGCTGGTTTCAGAGCCAAATTAAATACAGTATTTCTGCAGTGGGGCAACATGGATATGGGATGGTGCAACAGGATGCACCTTCCTCGTTGAAACTTGTCTGTTACAATTACAAGGCAGCATATGTCCAAGAAGTAGGGATGAGAGGGGATAGCATACACTTTGTAAGTTAGCTTTACTCTGAAGATTTCTTCCATATCAGTTTCACATTTCAAGAGGTGCCTAATAATCAAACTTCACACTCTATCAAGAGAAGAATGAACTTGGACAAAATACATGGAAACCTTAGTGAACTTGTGGGCCCTGATGGCCCGCTGAAATGCAGCCAGACACTTTCAGTTCCTAATCCACTGCATATGCTTCAGAAGTAGAGTGCAGTTTTTAATTTACATACAATAGCTTACAATATGGAAGGTTTCAAGTATGGCGTCATTGTAGGTAACAAATGCACTATAAGTGTCTATTTTGTTAATCTATCCTTCCGATCCACAAGAGAAAAAGGTACATTTCATTACACTTATTTGAATTTCTCTGCATCCATCTATCCTCTCACTGCAACATTTTGAAAATATATGATTTTCTTTTCCTTATGTAATAGCAGTGTGGGATACAGTTTTGTTTTGTTTTGTCCTCATGGTTTACAGCCCCACACCTCTGTTCATTCAGCCCCCCCCACAAAAACCAAGCATGGTAGTACCATGTCAAAATAATGTATTAGTTTCCCCTCCAGCAGACTGCCAGCCACCACAGCCTCCTCTGATTTTCCTTCCTCTCAGCAAATCCCTGCTGTCAAATTGATAGTTGTGCTATGATATTAATTTGTCTTATATTAGTATTTTATACATTAGCTATTAGTTCAACTTACCTGCTCTCTCCTTCCCCTTCCTTTTTTTTTTTTTAAAAGCTATTCACTAATTGTAAGTGTTCCACACAGACAGGTAAAGTACTTAAGTCCACCGTAGCTGAAAGTTATTTCTAACTAAATACAGTCTTTTCTTCTTTTAATTAAATTATGTTGTAACAGTTTTACCCTTTTGCTTTAAATGTGCAGGTATCTGATTCGTTGCATTTTCTCTCTGTTCCCAACATGTGGAATTTCATGCTGCTTTACACAGTAACTTAGACTAGGCTGAATTACTTTTATTAATGAGCCCCCCCAGTTAGAGGAGAAATAGGCAAATGAAAACAAAATTTTCATAAGTATGGCTAATACCAAGTAGATGTTTTTATTTTTTTTAATGTAAGATAGGTTTGCTTTTAAATTCTTCAGATGCTTCTAGAAGCATACTGTGATGTTTGAATATATCCAAATAGTGAAATATGTTTTTATATTTGTCCACAGTATTATTGGACTTCAGAAAAAAAATCAGAAAATGTCTAAATAACCTTCACAGTATTTCTTCAATTATCTGTTTCAGACCAACTGTCTAACATGGAAGGAAGTAGCACTGCAATTCCTTGTGAATACAGCAATAACACTGCAAACACTGAAGGTTTCAGAGTTGTCTGGACCTTCAACAGAAATGCAGTGATTTCAGTCCTGGCCTCCTTCAATGGTACATCTCACTCTTACCAGCCTCGAGTCCAGATTAACCAAAATGATTTTTCACTGATGTTGCGTGATCTTACTGCAAATGACAGTGGAGAATATCTGTGTAACATTTCAACACCTCACTACACAAAACTTACTGTGACAACTTTGCAAGTTGGTAAGTTGCTGCTCTTTCCATTTTGGAGGATGGGGACCAGTGAGGGGAACACAGGGCCAAAGGGTCAATCAGAAATCTGTAAAATATTGAGAAAAATCACCTTCTATAATTAGTACAGGTGGGTAGAAGAGATATTTTGTTATTTTTGTCCCAAGAAAAAAAAGTTACCTAAGATGTATTTATTTGAAGACTTGAATTTTCTTTCTTTCAATTTGCAGCTTGTTGTGGCAAAGGTCTCAAAATTGGTGGCTGCCCTCAGTTGCCACTGACTGCCCCCGGAGCTAAGGGTACAGGGAAACTCTCTAAATCATGTCCTAAATGCTCCGCTAACAGCAAATATGGTCTTTAAATGTAGCATGGAGATGAAGAGAAGCCCAAAGATGTGGTATAAATTTGCTTGCAGAAGATAAGACACACAGTTGTTATTTTCAAAGCCTTAATTCTACACAGCAGGTCTTTTTTAGACCTGGGGATATATGTTTATATGCATGCCTGCGTTTTTATGAACTGTAGTAAATTTCCAGCTCTGAACTCTTAGTTACAGTCATTTCATTGTCTCCAGTTTCAAGGAGGCTTACTGATTAACTTTTCCATCTATTGAAAACTCTTACCGGAGGTTAAAAAAATTTATACCACCTTTCTACAATTATTGTGCAAACAAACTACAGATTTGTTCAAAATAGTATGCTGTTTGGGATGCAGCCTCCTTAAATCTCAGTCCAAAGAGAGGAGAAAAAACCCCATTCAAACAGTATCACATAGGCATTATATACAATTAAATACAATCACCTAAAAGACTGAGAACTAATATAGGACACCTAATTTTCTTTTTTTTTTTTTAAGAAGAGAACTTGAAACAGCCAGTAGGACATAAAAATCAGGGGCAACATAGCAGAAATGGGGCTAGAATAAGTGATAACAACTGCATATTGTTGTCTTCCTTTCTCCACCCTCCCCCATGATAGCTTAATTTCAGTCTGAAATCTTGATGTAGTGTTATTTTAAATAACAACCTATATGCAACCTGAAGGAGGAGATTTAGATTAAAGAAAACAGTTAAGTCAGATAAACACACTTCCTTGCAGCTCAAATTCCAGCATGATCTTCCTTATCCTGTAAACCTAATATTGTGCCTCTGAAGTGGAGAGTATTGAACACCTCCAAGGAGTTACACACTTAACTGATGGTCCTAATTTATGTGCACAAGTCCATCAGTCTCCCTGTACACTTACTGGAGACACACGCACCTGTTCAGTCCAAATGTGATCTGGATCAGCTTCTACAAATGCCTTTCTCTAGCTACTCTCTGCAGATGGATCTTACAGTAGCCATAGGTGATACAAATTGCCTCTTTAGTGGCTAAATTACTGTGCCGCTCACAGAATTTTCCTACTCGTGGACCAGAAATACATTATACAGAACAGAGATGATACTTACCAGAGACATTAGCATCTTTGTGGCAGCACAGGCTGAAAGCAGATAAGCAGATAGAGACAGCAGGGCATAAGGGAATGAGCTAGATCAGTATGTTGGATAGTGGTCATAGCACAGCAGCTGCTCAACCATCAGAAAGATTTCCAAGTGACACTGAAAAGGAGACTTTTAAGGGGAAAAGTGAGATGAATTTGCAATCATTTCAGAGGCCTTCTCCAGCGTAAAGAAAGGTCACAGCTTAAAGCTGCTCTACCAAAGGAACTGACAAGATGTAACCATAGGTCTACATGTGGGGACAGAGCCAAGCTAAAGGTAATGACTAGATTAAATGCTCTGTTTTGGCAAGTTCTCATTTTTGAACTGTTTGCCAGACATCCATAGGTTGTTCCCAGAGGCGTGTAGAATTTTTGAAATTCTTTGGACGAGGTGCAGCAGTGGAAAGGAATCCTGAAGTAGAATAACTGTACTTAAAGGAATGAGTCCTCCTGGTCTGAGTGTTCTCACATTGAGATTGGCTGGAGTAACGAGATGCTTGGTGCCATGCAGAGGTTTCTGCTAGACGGGCTCTTATCTCCTGTGGAAACTGTTGTTAAAACCCACCTCAGGATCTGCTGCTTCTTGTGCCCACCTGGATTATATGGTTGCATCATGAAGTTGGGAAATGTTAGGTGAAAGTTGCAAAGGTTTTGTAACAGAAATCATGAAATCTATGGTCCGGGCCAGATAACACTTATGGAGTTGTTCTACTGGAAGTCAGCAGCACCGTTAATGGCACCAAGCACTGTACCTGGGGGCAGCGTTTACCATACTGGGCACTTGATTGTTTTTAAATGGGACTTGTATTAAGAAGTTGTCAAATCATATTACATGAGCACACGTGGAATTTTGTATCAGCACAATTAAGTAAAATAATCTGCTTTTAGCTATTGACACTTAAGTCATTAAAGTATCACTTCAAAGTCTTATAGTATGGGTCAAGTAACTTGAACATTCATGTATTAGTAGCATTAAGAAAAACCTGAGTCATTCTCCCTAAATCATAGCTTTTAGATTATAAATAAGAGAAAAAAAATAGCTTTGATATACTTATTGAACAGTAGTGAACATTAATTTGTGATATAAAGCACTTCTGTTAAACTTTTTGGAATTTGTATTTTTAAAGAAAATGCAGGTAATACTGGGAAAATTGTGCTAGGAGTGATCGCTGCAGTAGTGGGAGCAGGAGGCTGTTTCTTGCTCTGGTTCAAGGTATGTACAATCACTAGGAAATTTATTTTTAAAGGCACTATTAAGCTTAAATCCAGACCTTGAATGTTTAACCAAAACATAAATTTGCTTTTCATGGGTTAAATGTACAATGAAGGAAAATGTAGCATGGTAAGTCTCAGCATAAGTAAATTGTCCTTGTTCTTGCTATTTTCTATGTCCAGAAGGCCCTCCTTAGTACCTCTATGCAATAGTATTTTGGTTGTAACAATGTTAACATGCCCTTCTCTTGACCAGATGCTCTCCTGTGCCCTACACAAAGATGAAAAAGTTGGTTACCCTTCACAAATACTTTCTGATAACTTGCTTTAAAAACAAACTGGTTAATTTTCCTCGTTTGTGTTTAAGACCAAAAAAAACCCAAACCAAAGCATGAAGTCTGTCAAGCAATACACATACCTAGTCTTCATTAGGGCCCAAATTACTATTTCAATTATATCCAATGGCAAAGCTCACCAAAACTTCAGTGTGAAAAATTATACTAATTGCTTTGTTTAGGAGACTGTTTTGACCATATGATCCCTGATCTCATCTCTCTACACATCTCTCCCATTTACTGGAGTACAGCATCTTCTAGTGAATGCATTTTATTCTCGTGCATTTGTAATAGGCTGGCTCTCTTAGAATATTCTGTCTCCTTCCTCTGCATTTGTGGTGAGTATCCTTAAAAAAAAAGAACTTCAGCTCTTAGTCCTTAGGGTACATCTTTCTGTGTCTGACAGAAATATCCATGGGCATATCCATGGAGAGATATAACTTCAAACTCCCTGGGCCTTAAGATTTTGTCACAGCCTGAATTTGGTAAGCTTCAGGAGACATTTTACAATGGTTACTGTGAGGTTTGACAAGAACACACCAGAAAGAAACTCTAAAATGATTGAGTCTCAGTCTTTTTTCATTTTTCTCTCACTTAAAGATTCACTTGTGTGCTTCTTACTAGTCAATTTTAATTCTAACATGCTTTAGAGATGATAACATACTTTTGATATGCAGCTGCTTAATTTAGAGAATTTAAGCAAGATTCATTTATCTTGGGACCTGTTGAGACTTTTACCATATCATAATCAGAGGAAGTGGAACAGTTTACAGGTTAACTCAGCTTTGGTTACATTGATGGAGGACTAGATGGAAGAAACAGGAATGTTTCTGCACTGTTATGTGGATGTGTATTTTACTCAGCTAATGTTAAAATGGAAAATACTGACTTATCTTTATAGTGCGTGTCTTGTTCTATTCCCACTAGAGGATTAATTTTACAAATCAGTAGTTCTTACAAACATTTTTGTTTTGACTAGAAATGCAGAAGAAGAAAAGAAATCATATGAGCACCTTGACATACCAGAAGAAAATCCCTCTCTGCACACACAGATGCTACTGAGATTGCTGCTGAAAAGAACAAAGAGTTCCTTCACCTTCCCCATTGAGTTATACTAAGAGCCACATGGAAATGTGATTGTCTGAGCAACAGTAACAAACAACTGAACTGGTAGGGGGAAGAAAAAAAAAAAAAGTCAATTGACACTTGTATGTGAGGAGTCGGCATGAAAAATTGGAACTTGGATGTCCTAAAGGGACAATGAAGAAGTTTCCACAGAAGATTCAGTTTTGAGGGATTTTTTTTTTTTTTTTTTCAGTATGAGGGAAAGAGGAGGCTTACTGTCTTGCACTTAATTTAGAATTTTAATTTCAAGCAAAGACAACTTCCCTGTTTAAAAGTGGAAAAGATCTAAGAGAACACCCTATTTCTGAGCCACAGGCAGTCCTGATGGGACATGTCCCTCCACAGCATCTCCTATGTCTCTCCTGCAGCAAAAGTCTTTTGGCTTGTAGTAGTGGAAGCTTCTGAACTGGCTGTTGATATGAAAAAGTTTACTTTCTGCTTTCCTACAAAACTCATACAGACTGACTGGCAGGACAGATGGAAGCTGGGTTATCCCAGCTTTAAGGGCTGTCTCCCTGCACAGGTTTAATCTGTGCTGCTTTAACAATCTGCACATGAAATACATGAGACTGTGAAGCATGACTGGATTTGCCCTTGGTTTTGATTTTGTCAGAGATCTGCCAATTAGGATTTGTTCCAATATAATGAAGCGGGCTGTTGGCAAGATGTAATCTTTTATTGATCCCTGAGGCTTGGCAAAAAGAAAAAAGAAATGAATGGAATACACTATACAGTCTCTTTGGATTTTCACTTGATGTTTATTTCTGTAAGTGCTTATTTTTTTCTACATCTGCTTTCAGTTGTGCCTGATTATATCAAGCATCTTCTCATATCTGTCAGCTTCAGCTGTACTTATTCCTCTTCATGAACCTGAAATGCAATTGAGATAGTATACAACTATTAAAAATGTTGTGTTGGTGTTGGGGAGGTTTTAGAGTAAGTTCACAAGCAAATGACAAAAGCTTCTCCTCCCTGCTATTACCAGTTTGTATCTGAAATAGACTAGCACCGATCTAGCCAACCTTTGCCATCTTACTTTAACAATACAGGTTTCTTGTCCTCATGCTAGAGTATATATCCCTTTGATAGCAGATGACTTCTATACAATTCTGTTTCAACAGATGGTGGTGTTCTGAATCACACACACTTCCCAGAGTTTCCAGGAACATGGGTGCTGGTAGCAGTAGTCAAGGTATTTCTAATGCTAC